TCCCGAGCGCTCCTACCCAACGCTGCCGTATTGAGGGCTCCCTCAGGTTGCAATGAATAACAATGAATAAATAGTTTGATTAATATTGTTACTTCAAGCGTGCAATGTACTGAGTGCACCCAACTTTCTACACAGAAAAGGATTTGGTATTGAGTTCCACTGCAGGCATGCTCGGATGAGTTCAACCTTGGTTGACTATACCCAAATCGCAGGAACGCGCCAGTCGAGGTAGACGACACTCGGCACATGGGGCTGAGGTGGCACAAGGGCAAGTGGCGCACTATCACCCACATATTGCGGCGGGTCCGAGTACTATATCGAATCCGCCTAGGCCAACAAAGCTTCACATCCTCTGGAGCTGGTTAATCGCTAACAGACAATGCCCGAGACCTTTGTTTTCATACTTTCTTGGCCAAGAAACGTTCCTAAGCACCATTAACAAGTGATGAAGCCCGGTACCCCTCCTCTGCACCATAGTGCTCATTGTTGGAAAGATTGCTGCTCCTTCATCCCAACCACAGTTTCGCTATCACTGCAATTGCGAGTAAGGGAAAAACATCTAGCAGCAGCAACCAGACGTTATAGGCCCACAGAAGCCGCGCCAAGCATGATCGCCTGAGTAATAATTGTATGTCCCTCCGACATTTTAGGCGTGGACTACGGTATGGCTCAAACACACGTCTGCGAACGCACAACCTGCTTAAGTGACGGCTGCGTTTCTGCACCCAGATTCAGGAGATGTTCAAAATATATACATCCACGAAAAGTTGCTCATTTCTGTCAAAAGTAGCCCTACCATGGCAGAGCATTCCTCCTTGCTAAGTCTATTATCTTTTAATTCAGTTAGTTGGCTTTTATATCCCTCTGTTGTAGTAGCCGTCATAGAATAATGACTAGACAAAGAAAAACGGATTGAGAAGCTAAAACAAAAGTTGCTGCTATGCATAGATTACTTGCATTTTTGGATAGTGGAGAGGTTATCCTGCTTCTTGACTCATGCGCCTTTCTTGTTTCACTTTTTATATATTTCGGATCGTGGCAGCGGCTGCAGGTCCCCATTATTTTTTCCTTGAAGAGGATAGATGTCCATGGAAGGCAGTAATGTGGTCGGGCCACTGAACCTGCGAGTGTTCTATTAAGTTCCGTTTTTCTAATTATTAATGGAAGTCGAATGCGTGATTTTATTCAAAGCGGAGCCAGATATACTCATCATTCGAGGTTTATTTCTGTTCCGTACCTTTTAATAAAAAAAAAATCCCGGTTCTTTCAAGAAATGCTTTCACGTTATGCTGTGTTCATGTCTCAGTCCATTTACCTATACCGAAACGACACTGTAAAGTTTTTCTCTTGTAGTATTTGTTTTCAGTTAAAAATGCAGGATGATGGGTATGGTCCTCGACCACCACAAGGTAAGCCATCTTCGCATGCGGTGCGCATGTATATCTTTTGTATGACAAATTTGAACCAGCGTTTATTGAGATATTTTTGTTTTCGTTCTTCCTCTTCCATATCTTAGTATTGCAGCATTGTAAGAGCTAAAGGGTTAAGTTGAATTCTCTAATAAAGTAGCAACAGATTTTTCAATGTATGTACCTTCAGATGATGATTTACGAAATGCCATCGAACGCCTGGCTGTTTTCGTCGCAAAAAACGGCCCAGACTTCGAAAAAATGACCATGGACAAGCAGGAGGGGAACCCAAAGTTTGCTTTCCTGTATGGTGGTCCGTTCAATGAGTACTACCGCTTCTGTGTGGAACGTGAAGTTCAAAAGAGTTGGTTCTTGCACTTTCCCTTCTCTATTTAGTTATCAGAGTTGTTCTTTTGTGCAGTCTCGATGTTGTAGTTCACGGACCACCGCCACCACATCATGGTAACGGCATGGGACCACCACAGCCTGAGTCAGAATTTATGAGAAGAATGAACTCCCAAAAAGAGCAGCTTAGGCAACAAATCATCGATAGTGAACGGAATTTGAAAGCTCATCTTGATTCTATACCTGCAATGAAGGAGGTATGTTCTGTATTCAATGGGTGTCTCACACACAATAAATTTTCTCATTGTCGAAACAACTTTATTTGTACGACTCCACATGAGGCTACAATATCTTAATGGCTAACGTTTCGGTGAAACCACCTTCGTCGGAGCCTAAAAGGATGGAATCAAATTTATGAAATTACCCAATGAAACATATCTATCCTCTACAATATCTTCGATACCAACCTAATCACTCAATTCTAGGTGGATATTCTCAATGTTTAGGCACAAGTTGCCCAAGCCGTAGTCATGTCGGAATCGCAAAAAATGTCTCAAATATTGGCCAACGTGAATTTTGATGTGGCACCTCTAGGTGCAATGCTGGATCAACTCAATGGTGGGAAGTGCTCCAAAGATCTCGTATCGGTACGTTCTTTATTTGTGAAGCTTCAGTTGGTGTTCCTTTGACAGTCGAACTAGACTGGAAGTAGTTGCTTCAGACAAGTCGGAAGTGGATTTTTGAGCATTGTCAGACCGATCAGCTCAGAGAAGTTGTTCTTACATATCTTCTGAGCAGGTAAATCTCTGACATAGGTTTTAAAAGTTGGCTGTCTTTCTTGTCATCATACTGTTAAGGGTGAAAGATTCGCAAGCTAATGATAACTTCCGACTAAATGTTCTCTACATCATCAATGACTGGGCGTACCAATGGTAAGTTCGAGCAAATTTTCTCTGTCGTCTTCATTGCCAATTAGACGAGTAGCATGAAATTTAGCAAATTCACCGTAGGTCATGGGTGGTCTGAAACTTTAGGCCGCTCATTGTTTAGCGTGACTGTGTACGAAAGATTCGTAAATGTTCCGCGCTCAGTGCAATTAGAAAAGAATGCTGAACGCCAAGTCGTCCAATAACTACGCGATGTCCTCTGTCTTCTTTCGAACATTTGATTGGTTCAGCTCCTGGCAGCGAGCTTCGGTAATGGGACCTTTGTAGTGAGACTACATCGAGCACGTAGAGAGAACGATTGTGTCCTCGTGATGAAGCGAAAGTTCCTTGTTCCTGAGAAGCCGAGAAGCTGGCATCCTTTGAACCCACTGCAAAGGGATGGTGTAAACTGCATATTGCCCAAACACCTTTCCCAATGTACGAATGTGGAACTTAGTTGTATTATCCTCTGAAGCATGTCAGTTTCTCGGCATCCCTTTCGTCATTGTAACCTTACTTTTCTTTAACGCTTACCCTTTTTTGCTGGATGCCTTCTAGCAGCTCGGTCTTAATGCTCTTGATTCTAGTCTCACGTAAAATAATGATTTCAAAAGGCAGGGCGCCTCTCCCTGATTGGTTTATGAAAATTCGACATGGTAGATCTCAGACTGGCATCCAGTAGATGCCTTATGAACTAGACAAGCGCTGTCAACTGTTTATACAGCTCAGTTAATAACTTACTCAATCTCTGGGGCAATACTCGCAGCAGGGATGGCCAATGTATTAACAGCGAAGTCGTCTCGAGAAGCCATACGCAGAATCACTGGTATGCGCTGTAACTTGGTTTGAAATAATTTGAAGATAGGAATAACATTTTTTGAAGTTCTTAAAATATATCACGCGATTCTGTTGTATGTACTCTTTCTGTAAAAGAAGAGCAGTAACGACGGCTCAAGTATTGCGTTGTCTTTGGGAAAATTTCGAAGCCTGTAAGCGACTTCGCTAAATTCCCTGCAAGAGACATTAAAATATGAACGACAAAAATCAAGGACGACGGTTATTGTGGAATTCATATTTGGTCTCTCGCTTCCTTGTAAAACTCGAATTGACTTTTCGTTAAACTTGCAAACTTAACTATGCTTTCAACATTGCTTTCGCTCTTTTTTCAAGTCAACGGAAGCGATTGGATTCTCAAACTCAAATGTTGTCCCGTTACGTTCCCCAAATGTATGCTTTTACCGTGGAGTTGTCACAAGACGGTATGATGCAGCAGAAACTAGATAAACTGATCGGAGTCTGGGAAGGACACAAATATTTCAACGACCAATGTTTTAAGGTTTGTTTCACAATCGTATCGTATTTTATCCAATGTGTTTTATCCTTACCAGTTCGTTCCTTACCTAGTTTTTTGATGGGGGTGCGCATACGATTGTTACATATTCACAACTGCTTGACTGTTACATTCTATTGAAGCCTCCATGCCACTATTTTTTCGGTAGTGAGGCGGCTTTTATACAAAAACCAAGCTTTTTTGTTGAACTGAAAGGTATCAGTATTGTAGAGTTACCATTGTCGTGCACATTTGTATGGAATGCTCAGCATTTATTTCTTCAGTGCAGTTCAAATCATGAGAACCCTGGACACTAGATGTCGGTGCTTAATTCGCCTTGAAACTAGGTTATCCGCTCCCCGGTTCTGAGCACGGGCAGTCGTGTCAGTGTAAGTTCTTGTCAGCGCTAGGAGTCCACTGCTTATGTCTGTCCGAGTCACATCCTAACAAGTTGATGGCAAGAAGTCAAATCGGCACGTAAAGTGCAGTAGGAACTGAAGCAGTAGTTTTCGTCTCATTGAAACTGAGAGAGTTTAGGAAACGCCCACGAAATCCTAGGAAAATGGTATGTAATGATAGTTTATCGTAGTAGAAATAGAAATATTTCTTTCAACAGGTCACACTTAGGGTTTGAAAGCAACTGCCGCTGGAAACACCACATAAATTCACGGAAATAAATGGGCATGATATCTCTCTGCTCAGGTTCCCAAAGTATCATGTGCTACGTTCTCTCCCATCCACTTATGATCGCTTTTCACAATCTGCATGTAGGGCGCAAGGTGTCATTGTAGTGTCATATGCATAAACCGTCTCGCGGCGCACGCGCTGATTTGTTGGCACAATATCGGATCCGGAGTTTAAATATTTCCGATTATTTGTACATATTTATTCGGATTTAGTTATATTGTCTTTCTATTACAGTAATATTACATGACCCTATTAGTAAAGCTGCGGAAACACCAGATGGGTGGAATTGCCTTGATTTATTTGTCTACTTTTGTTTTCTTCACTGTTTTCGATATTCTGCTCAATACAGGTTTTTCTTTCAAGTTTAGCGGGTGATATTGAAGTAAACATCCAAATAATATGCGCTGGATATGAATATGGCAATTTTTAATAATATTAGACCTCAATTTCATTTCATCGATGTTTTTAATGGTTATTTCATTCAGCAACTACGTAATCCTGGCCAGATTTACAGTTCCGCGAAAGCAGTTCAAGCTGCAGAATATGCCAAGGTATGGTTTTGCTCTAAATAATCACGTTTGCCGCTCCAGAAAAAAAGCTGCAAATCACTTGTAAACAAAGTCGCTAGCTACCTGCTCTCGAAACTGTCTTGAATTCGTCCTATTTTATTTGTCCGCTTTGGTTTTTCTTTTGACTTTTGATTTCTCGATCTCGTTGTCGATTTTTTTTAGTTAGCGGCTGATATCGAAGTCAATCTTCAAGCAATGTACGCTGGATATGAGCAGCAGCACAAAAACTATGTGCAGCACATAACGCAACAAATTGCTCAAATTGACATGCAGATAGAAACTGAGAAGGACCGTGCACGAGGTTGGTGGTGCTGGTCCTACTTTTCGAGTTCTTGTGCCTTTAACGACTGTACAGGGTGGGCCAAAATTATGATTACAGCGCGCGCTGACGTTCATTGCAAATTTTTTCTATGTTCACAACAATTCACTCAATTTCTTCCATTTCACAAAGTAGCTTACGTTATTACCTTTCTAATGATACTAAACTTTGGGTAGATTTTTAACATAATATAAGCGTAACTAGTCCGTGAATTAAACGTAGCTTTGCATTTACAAACACTTTTGGCACGGTGCATCTACAGAGGAACTAGCGAAACAAGGCAGGTATTGCATTCAACCATAAGACGCTCTCGAGAGTTGGGAACAATTGCAGATAGGAGTGGTGAACCTAGGAAAGCTNTGGTTATATTTAGGGGAAGTGTCAAGAAAGCAGGGCAAAGGCCTAAGTAGGAGCAAAATTCATTCTGAGTCCAAAAAGGATAAATGAATGGATATGTCACGAAATTTTCTGCGTGAAATCGTGAAGCATCTCCTGCACAACGAGACCGTTATACGATCAGAAACTGATTTCCCCAGAGAGCAGGCTGAAGAGAAGAGAAAGGGCGGCTAACAAAAGCTGCCTGTCGCATCCGAAAAAATTGTCCTACGGAATTCCTGTTCACCGACGAGAAAAGATTCACAGTGAAATAGGTGCTCAATAAGTAGAGCGATAACATTTATATGAAGCTTAAAGAAATGAAAGTGATACAGCGCCTGGCTCACTAACTTTCTGTGATGGCCTGTATCAGCATCTCGAAAATGCTTAGCAAAAAGCCGGGACCATTTCGATGACCCTAGCTGCGTGCCACCGTCAATGCCGTCCATCGTCGTCTTGGGTGTTGGGTGAAAGCAGAATGCAACAGATCCCACTCTCAATGTACAGTTTTGATAAGAAATTTGTGTTAAACCCTTTAATGAAATTGGTTTGCTCTATTGGCTTTCTATTCGTTTACTGCGATGTGATTTCTGTGTAATCATAATTTTGGCCCACCCTGTAGTATCGCTGAACCGAATAAATACCAAGATGCGCTTGCATGCTCTTTTTTACACGACTATCTGACACTTCTCTCGTAAGTATAGGTAAAGTCTGGGCTTGGTTGTGTACCCCTTCTTGCTTAATCCCCTGCTCATTACTTTACGCTAAATTCGAATTTCTACATCATTCATTTTCCTGTTGGAAAATTTTGTCTAATACATAGAGAAAAAGTAATTCTGTATTTTATAGGTGCCATACCTTCGCTCTTAAGTGGGATGACTCGTGATCCTTCTCCCATGGCCGGTCCCGGCCCTGGACCAGGGCCGGGACCCGGTATGGGAGGAGGACCAGGAATGGGACCAGGACCAGGAATGGGACCAGGACCCGGTATGGGACCAGGACCAGGAATGGGACCAGGACCTGGTATCGGAGGTCGTCGTTCGCGATTTGATCAGCAACCCAGTGCGATGCAAAGTAAATCGCAGGAATCTTACGGGCAGTTCTTCGCTCCACCTCCCAGAACTGCTCCTAAGCAGGGCTGGATGGAAGACGGTATGCGAGTTTATGTCTTTTGAACCTTCCTTTACTTCGCCTTCAGGTTTCCTACAACTTTTTTATTGGATTTATGTGTAATACTTCACTCACTCATACCTATCGATTTTCATCGACAATTCTCAGTTCACCTTGGGTATACCCTATGATTGTGAATGCTTGTTTCCTGAAGTTTCCCGTCAATTCATGTGCTATACCCTCTAAATAGCTGTTTGCTGATATATTCTTATATTGAACTGTTAGCGTGCCGTTTCTTAATAGGCGCAACAGATCAGGTTGACTATTATGGATTGTTCATAATAATTCTTCACGTTGTATTCTTATCGAATTTACCCGAATACATTCACGACAGCAGGTGCCCGCTATCTGTGGATTGCAGATGCTATGTGCAACTAGTATAGGTTGTACAGCAAATGAAGAAAGACTCTGCAAAAAGGCAGGCGGCGGTCGTGTTTGTCAAAATTGTGGGTAGGAAACGGGCGGAACTCAATTGTGTCTGTGTCTCGAAGTTTGTGATAAGTTAGTAATACACTTCTATGAAACCATTGTAAATATACTTCTAGTAACCATTGTAAATTCGAAAAATGGCCAGTAAACTGGTCTCGAAGCTACCCCTTTGGACGAACAGGATCGGAGTTAATTATAGAATCTTTCTTGAAAATATCGGAGCATCTAATCATTTAGAACTTACCACCCAAGATAGAATCTCGCATGAGAAAAATGTTTTGACTTGTGATTACTGCACGTAACCTCAACCATTTTGTCATATTATTATACTTGTATAATCGGAGCTGTAAAGCTTCTCGTTTCGGTCACTTTTCACATTGACAGTAACGTTGGCTATCCTAATACGCACACTTTTGTGACTTTTGTTTTCCGTGAAGTTGCAGAGCAACTATTCAGTTTTCTTGTGCGATTTTGTCTTTGATTCAAAACATATTCAAATGCAGGATGGTCGAGGAACATTCCACCTACAGAAGCTTATCCAGAAAGATCCATGCCCTCGAAAATCTACAATGGCCCAGCTCCATCCTCACCGCCCAATAGTAAGCAAACAAATATTTCTTCATATTTATGTTTTTCTTCTTTGACCGTTTCGGCCAGAACTTCAGTAGAAATTATATTGTGTAATCTGAATATCTCTTTTGCAATCCGACTGATTGTGAGCAGTATGCGTACTTCCTTGAAGTGATCAAGTGAAGTAAACGACATGCCGTTTTTTAGCGAGTACCTGCAGTCGTGAAACTCTTATCCTGGTGTGAAGCTAGGCACCACGGTTAGGCTGGGTGAAGCTAGTAGGATTTTAAGAACTCATATTACAGCAGCTTAGACGAGAGTTGTGCGAGATACTGTTGACTCGAACAAAATATAATCGGACCTAACTTCGATAAGATTGTGTACTTTTAGTTGAACATTGTTTTAAATGTGATCATAATCTGATAGCACGTTTGATAACTTGTACCTTCAACCTTTTAAAGCTTGTTTCAAATGAACATTCCTTTTATTGGTACCGGAGTTGTATATTCTGTATGGCCTGAATATCCGCGCGCTCGCGCATTTGCATCAATCCTTGCGCCTTGGTCAACCACCTAGTGCTTAGTAGTCGGCTTTTTCTACGAGGAATGATTCTGCAGAGAAATAGAATTCCATAGATTGTTTTTTTCAGTCAGAAATGCTTTTCGGAGTTCTTGTTTGATTATTTAGTTGAAGCCTTTGAGAGTTCCAAGACATGGTTTTCCTGGCTATCTTTGATTTCCACATTTCTTTGTCAGGATTACTTCCGAATAGTTACAGAAGGAGTTCCGGACGGTGACGATATAGATGGGCACCCTTTCAACGAAGAAGATCTCATCCCTAGTGTAAGTTTTTTCTTTCTGTAGTTTTCTCCAGTTTGTTCAGCAAAATTTTAAGGCGAAGTACTTCGAGCTTCCTGCTGGCATCATGCTTCCCGTCATAGAGATTGAACAGTTCTCGGTATGAGTTGGATATAATTATGTTGCCGCAGTCGCAAAATCATTGATTGCACTTGTTCAATGAGTGCTCTTTTTTATAGTACACAGCATTGGTTCCTGACAAGCTAAGAATGCCACCGCCTGTGCCACCATCTCAACGGCTTTTGAATGCTCTCGATGAATTTTATAGTGCTACCTTGGACCCGACCAGGGAACCGTAAGTGCCATACGTACAGAGTCTGTGGGTAGAAATAGAATAATTCGTTTGCCACACTATATAGATTAACAAGCGATCAATGTTAACTTCTCTGGAGTCCTCCTCTTGGTTCTAAACTTCATGGGAACTCAACTTATTCTCGATTACCGTTTCTAAATTTTGCCCCATTCTTTCAGGCCACTGGCGGCGTGGGGACGTGGAGGCTGCTCTGAGTTCATGGAGAGAAAACAAAGGTTGAAGAATATTTTGGAGGAAAAACTCAAGGTGTGTTTAGTGAGCTACCCTGCTCATTCAATCCTCAATCGAAGATGAAGGAAATGAACTGGAATGGAATGGAATTTTCTCTCCATGAACTCCTAGGAAAGAACATAGCTTTATTTATGGTTGAATTATTGTAAACAAATGAGCTCACCTAATAGGTATGATTCTGAAGCGCATCAATTTAGGTGCTCATGCTATGTTTAATTTCACTGCGATGTTGTGATACCACTTTCCATCTGTTGCTGTGATTTATAAACTTTTCATCTCAGAGCGAAAACAAGACTATTGATGATTTGGTTGAAAACAAACCTTCCGAAGAAGAAATGAAAATCCAGCAAGAAGACATAAATGCAGAAATCAAGATGAAGTATGAGGAAATGAGAAGGCACGGTTCTTATTCTTTACAGATACCGAGTTTTTGGAATGTACTAGTTGTATGTCTTGAACTAGGTGCTGATTCATGTCTTGGTTCAATGTGTTTTCATTCTGAAAGTGTAACCTTTTTTAAGGAATGCTGCTGCCAACGAAGAAAATGAAAAGCAAAAAGCATCGTCTCCCTCTGCATCATCAAAACGAAAAGATCGTGGTCGTTCTCGGTAATTTAGAGCACTTCACTTCAGTAGTTTATGAGTTTAAAAAAAGGAATGTGAATGGAAATTGTTAGACGCAACATTATTCAGACGTAGCCGTAGTAGTTCTTCTTCATCATCATCTCGCTCGTCAAGGTCAAGCTCATCATCTTCGTCTGGATCTAGCTCTTCCTCGCGAGATCGATCACGGAGCCGGTCATACTCTCCAAGAAGAAGGTGCTTCCTATTTTTTAACATTATAATTATTTTTTATTTGGCTAACTCATGTTTCGCAGATCCCGCTCTCGATCTCGTTCATTGTCGCCGAGCGATCGTCCGTCATTCGGCTCTAGACATCGTTCCCCTTCTCCCGTCGGATTGTACGTGTTTCACAATTTTTTCTCGTGCTTGGGGTCAAGTGAACTCTTCTTGACAGATTTTAATATTCATTCTTTTTTTTAAGTGATGGCGATGCGAGATTCCGTGCGCCGCCGGCTCCACTCTCATCTGTAAACAAAGGGGCACAGTTGATGCAAAAGATGGGTTGGAGCGGTACTGGCCTGGGAGCTTCAAAACAGGTTCGTGAAATATTTTATGTACACTGGTCTTTCAACTCTACCTCGTTTTAATGTTTTCATTATAATATAAAACATTCCTTCATGAGCTCACTCGGGTTCTTCCTATGAGTGATTCAAACGTCCACAATCTTGCCCGAGATTTGGCCGAGGGAATAATCGTTAAGGAACTGAAAGCTCCAAAGAATCGAATGACATTCACCATTTCCATTTTATCGCAATGCGTTATTTCGAAAAATGCCGTTTTTTTCACCAAAAAGCAAATGTTGTGAAGACCAAAGGAGCAAAGACGTGCGTACGAGTGGGCCTTAAATTTAGAATTGGCTGATACCAACGAAGCGATTTTGAGATTGTCTGGTAATCCGCTCTTTACTGCAACTATTTCTTGTTTTTTTTTTGCCTTTGTTCAAAGAGTCTTTGAGATATATTCCATTTGAGCTCCACTCTTCGACCAGTTTTCCTTAAAAAAGTGGTCAAAAGATTGAAAGCGACAAAAAAGAAATCAAGATGAGAGTAGGGATTAATTTCATTGGGTATCGCTGAGATGACCGACAGAGACTTAAAAGTAATGTCTCCTTGACCAGCAGTTCCTTGCTGCAAGTAATTTTTGTTTAGGGCATCATTGAACCAATAAGCGGAGGCGAAATTCGTGACAGGCAAGATCAGTTCCGTGGATTAGGCAGCACAGTGGACGTATACGAGCAGTACAGGTCAGCGTCTTCAACGGATTTTTTCTGGCCGCTTTTTCAATATTCATCATTTATGAAACCTTTCATGATTTAGGAAACAACGGAGTGGGAATTACCATGACCGGAATCAGTCTAATCAAGCGTCTAGAGAAAAGCAGTGAATTGATTGGATTGATCAGTACCTTATCTGAACTCTACAAATGACCCCTTATTTGGTATAAGGATACTCCACTCCTTTTACCTCCATTCTCGTACACAGCGAGCTTGATTGATATGTTTGTTGATTGTGAAAATGATGTATTAAATTGTTAAATACTTGTCAATATACATGGTGTGCTTGCAGTCGTAGCAGCCGACTCAAATACTTCGACTTTTGTTTCTTGGTAATTATTATGTTGGAATTTTGTTCGTACGTCTTGCTCTATTCAGCCCTTGATGTACGTGGGCCGACTGTGGTTGATATGTGTCTTGGTAGAACTCGTAAATGCCCTTTTTGAAGATCAAGTAGGGAAATTTGACTGGTGAGCGTATATTTCCTCAGTTTTTAAGGAATCGTTGAAGAGTATTGTTTCAGGCGACATCAATATGTCGGGTGTCCTCTACAAGTCCACTTCGATGAGTGGGGCAGGAATGAGCGGCTGCTAGTTTCCACAAGAGAAAATGTCTTCGCTTCTCTTTCAGCCAACACAGGACATATAGGTATGTCAAATTAGAATGCGGTATACTAGGACTGTGCCGGAGTCCTATAGTACGCTCGTCATATCCGCATTATGTTGCGGAAACTAAGGGAGGTGAAGGGAAATCGGGGCGCACAATGAATGGATCAGATCCGGATAGCGGGGAGTGGCGCTTAGTACTTATCAGTTAAACATTGCGGTTTGATGCTACGAAATCGTTAAACAAATTCTGCCGAAGCTTGTGCGTGTCCGTAAGGATCCGAACATTCCGCCACCGCCACCCCTGGTTCGCTTTTTCGCATGTCAGCCATACTTACGTCAGTCGTCTTGGGAGTAAAAGTTCGAACACTTTTATTCTGACATGAGGCAAGGTACTCTAAAGCGATCATCGCATTACGGTCTGGTTCCTCGCGTGGCTGCGACGCACCACACCTCGGCGATGTAAAACTGCAAACCATAAAGCCTGCCAATTTTCGAGCTTTGCTCTTCTGGGTTTTAAAATTGAACTGTTGCCTGCTTTCATGTCTGTTTCATTGTTTTCTGTCTTGTAGTCGGCTAATTTACCAACAGCCGTGCTATGTAAGTATCGGAATTTTCACCACAAACGAATATGGCTATTGCAATAGCTCTTCTGTTAATATACTACTTTCAACAGCAATTTGATTTAGTGTGGAGAAGAATTCAAGAGGATGCAAAAGGTGTTGTTCTTCCATCTGTCGCCGACGAAAAAAGTAAGCACGTGTTTTTCCACACGTAATGCTTTTGAATTATTCAATAAATTCAGCTCTGTATTCTGTATCCGACGGTGGTCGAGTTGTTCGAGCATGGAACAAGCGGAATGGCGCGTTGCTTTGGCAAACTGCCATCGCTGAAAAAACTGATCCTAGGTTAGTTTGTCTTGAATATTGAATTAGGCATCTTACAATTTTCTTTTACAGTTCATCGCTAGCTATAGCGCTTGCGTCTAATACGGTAGTGGTCTCAAGTCTAGGCAAATTAGCTGCATTCTCTGAGAGTGGCAAAGTTCGATGGTCAGAAACAGTAGAGAAAAGGTGTTGTTTGAAGACTTTATGTTACTTTCTACCTTTATTTCATATACCTTGTTTACTGTATTGCCTTACAGTGATTGGTCAAAGCTGACTGTGGATAACGACATAGTTCGTCACTTGTCAATTGTGAACGGAGTTTTCCATGTACGGGAGTTTTCTCTAGGCACCGGAGAATCCGTCGCCGTCAAAGCAAAAAGCATCAAAGCTGTGCCAAAAGAAAAGTACGGTCGACTACAAGACTTACCATTTCTGCCACCACTACCAGTTCGGCTCTGCTACTGGAATGATATGGTTTAGGTGTGTGACCATGCGAAACCTCTTCATATGTGGTGATGGCGACTCGCTATACATCGTCAACGGTATTGGATCTACTCTTAATGATGAAAGCAAGTCAATCGGATTTGAAATTAAGTACGGAGGCTTCTTTAATATTCAGGTCGCACGACCGGCAGCCCCTCAATTTTTTTTTGCAGAGAATTGGTAGTGCTGGACAACAACCACCTCCTGGTGAAAGGTTCGACGTCAGCATTGATTCTACATTCAAGTTCAGATGGATTTCAAGAGGTCGAAAACATGTTTCGGTTATATTATCGATGTTTCAGCGATTATTTAATACTTGTTAAATTTTCACCGCAAAGGCATGTTAGGTATTACAAGTAACTAATAAGTAATCAGATGACAAATGTTTTTTATTGATACTGATTTGCCCGTTACCCTTAGAACCCCAACAATCCTAATTACCCTACGAATCCAATATCGATTAGCCAACAGGTTACTTAGTCTTAGAATTATCCAAAGTAAATCTGAACTCATGCGTTCAATGCTTTGACAGATTGTGACAAATTTTTGCAGAAATGTTGTGTCCGTCAGGAATGCGAATTCCTCCAAGGTGACCTCTCAGAAATGGAAGCAGCATGCAACGGTGGAGGGGGGTAGTGATTAAATAATGGAATTAAATTTAAACCTAACCCAATTTCGTACCCCAACTTGCTTCTTGGTGCTTGGTTCTTCGACTGGCTAGGCAATGTAATACAGGAACATTGAGTCAGGTTTGAAAATTACATAATGCCGAAATTATTTTTAAAAAAACATCGAGGATGTATACTGTAGGGCTATACTACTAGTTATTTTAGTGGATTTCAGAGCTTATCTTTGATACACGGAGTCGACTCTGCCGCTATGTATTCGGACACACTTGTTGTTATCTCGGGAAAAAATCTCGAAGTTTACGATATGAAAACATCGAAGCGGGTTTTTGAGGTAAACTGATTTTTAGATGTTTACGTCGTATATCTGTGGCACCATTTTGTGCTTACCTGCCAATTTAGACTACTCTTACTTTTGACGAGGAGAATATTGCTCCAGTGAAAGCTGCTTACGTTTCCGTCAAGGAAGCTATCGAGCTACTCATTGTAGGGCACGATTGCAGGTGAAGATTACGGTAGTTTCTCCACGAGCTAAAGATTTATTTTGTCAATATCAATGCATTGTATGACACTGATGCACTCTTGAATACTTCTGATACTTTAATGACTATTTTTTCAGAATGGAATTCCTTATAATTGATATCTCAAAGTCATCTGTTGTTTCTGAGTGGGTGCGTGAAGAGGCTCTAGCTCTCATTAGTAGTGTGGAAATGGTCGATTTGCCTTTATCCGAGTTGCAGCAAATGATTGAAGATGAGTTCGAAGAAGGAGGTTTGTGGATTTTTTCTCTTCTCAGCAGTGTTCTATACAATGTAAAACGCTTGTGACCTTTACACAAACATTAAAAAGGGGTTAACAATAACTAAGTTTAGGTAAAAGCGATGTAATGTCCTCCTTTATTCGACGCCTCATATCACAGACATCTCAAATTCAGAAATGGCTGTTAAAAACGATAAATGAGGTCCTTTACTACTTTATTCAAAACAATAGTGTTTCTACTTTTCAGAGGACGTGAAATAATAATGGTTTTTAGCAATCGCTACTCGTTTATCATTATAAAGTTAGATATTTAAATCCACCTTCCTCATTTAGATATTTACATTCTCGTATATGATTTCAACAAGAACCAATTCGTTTTCGAAGCTGCTCCATCACGTTAGATCCGCTGCTAAAAGTGGAAAGTAAGTTTATAAATGTTCCTGCCAATTCAACTTACGAACAGTGCATTGCGTATTTTTTTTCAGCCATAGCGGTGAAATATTGGAACGAGATTTCTTCAACCTTCGCAAAATCATTGTTGCAACAACATTAGATGGGGTAGTTTTTGGCCTTGACAGCAGNTGCCAATCTCAACTTACGACCAGTGCATTGCGTATTTTTTTCAGCCATAGCGGTGAAATTTTGGAACGAGATTTCTTCAACCTTCGCAAAATCATTGTTGCAACAACATTAGATGGGGTAGTTTTTGGCCTTGACAGCAGCGATGGCTCAATAGTTTGGCGGTTGTGGCTTGGAAATCATTTTGCACCCCTATCTAATTTCATAGGGAAAAATGAGGTATGTATTGCTCCGTGGTCTTTCGGCTTTTGGAGTTAATAGACCAATCGTAATTTATTGGTTAAGGTACCATTATTTGTACAAAGGTCAACAGCCCATTATCAGTTGGCCGGACAAGCATCTGTCGCTTTCAAAGATTCAGTGAGTTAAAACGTTTTGCGACGTGGATTTGTTTCAGTGGTGTACCAGGTGAACGAAGATTTCAGATCAGAATCTTATAGGTATCTTCATTCGGAATACTGGTATTTTTCAACCCAATCACCGGAAAAGTCGTTGAGAAGACAATGCTGTCAACTTCTATATCCCGTGTTGATGTGTTGAACTTTGTTATACAAGAACACATTTATCCGCTAGTTGTTATAGGGGTTAATAACGAGGTGCGTTTTCAATTCTTCTTTATTTTACCTTCAAATAGGTCAATACACATATGATATGCTGTCCATGCATTATGTTGAGCCAAATTCGCGAAGCCAAAGTGATCAAGGTGTGACCTTGCATAAACGATTCGTTTCGAAAAAGAGTACTTAGGGAGGATGATGAAACTTTTCTTGGAAACAAATGTCCGGGATTAATGACAATATCCTTTACACCGCCGAAACGCCTTTTTTCTAGATATCTCTTCACCCCAATCCTTCTGAAAACTTGTTAGCTGCAGCTCCGCCCGTTTATATCCTAATCCCGGAAGGGTCACTTATTTCTGGAGCAGTCATTAATCTTTCGGAAAAGAAAATGGTCAGAACGTGGACTGCTGATTTGCATCTCGCCGAAACGGAAAAGATCATCGCCATCAAAGGGAAACCCAGACATCGTGCGTCATTATTTGTCTAGGAGTTTGCAATTAATATCTATTCATGTTCTTCAGAAAAAATGCATTCTCAAGGACGAGTGCTAATTGACCGCAATGTGCAGTACAAATATGCTAACCCAAATCTGGTCGGATTTCTCTCTTATCTATCCTTGATTCGGCAGCAATCAATCCATCCCTGTTTAATTTAGGTTGCAATAGCCACTTTGGATAAAATTCATCAATATCTCTCGATTTTCCTAATAGATGTCGTCTCTGGACAAATGGTTCATTCTGCTCGGTTGGCTAAGGCTACAGCACCTGTGCACTTGGTTCACTGTGAACACTGGATCGCGGTAATTTCGGTTCTTTCTGAACGCAAAAATTGGAGATTGTCATGCCATGTTATTTTGGGCTCATCCCTCCTCACAATTTTTCGTGACCTTTCATCTCGGCAGTATGCCACTCACCGAACTCCGTGAATTAATGGATAACTGAACTCTTTTACAGTACTCCTACTGGTCAGAAAAAGGAAGAAGAACTGAAATAGGCGTACTCGAACTGTATGAAGGAAGCGAGCAAAGCAACAAGGTAACACTCTCTGGCAATACCGTTTCCGTGTTGGAACGCATGTCATTAGAAGTGTTAGTACATATTATTCAGGGGCATACTCATCACATACATATGTGCAATCTTTACGATCTTTCACACACCAGCACGTGAACTGGGGACCTAAGGCTGCTTTTGCAAAAAAAAATCTGTACTGGCTTATCAATTGTGATGCGTTGTTCTCGTTGGTTGCTGAAATCTGTACTCACATTAACGGAAAGCTTTCCGAAGGAAAGTTCCAAATAGAGGCCGGGAATCCCATTGTTGTTTTTTCGCTAAAAGTTTGCTTATCTATTTTTGTCTCTGACCAAATAGAGGGAGTGGTCGAGGAGGAAAGGCTACTGGTACTAACAGACCGTAAAAGGACAACGATAAAATAGTTGTGAAATTTTTGGCGCAGCCAAGGCTTGATGAAAACTCGAAAGTGCTGATGCAGCACAGTTAATCAGTGACGAAAAAAGCGAAAGTTTGGGCGAGAACTTAGACGCTAAGAGCAACTATTAACGTTAGCTGTTAGCGAAGGATAAAATCTCTAAAATACCATTGACCAAGTCCTTTCTTGGAAGTAATAAGCGACTGTAGGCGTCGTTAATAGTTTCCAAGCCCTTATTGCCCTTACCTGGGCAAATTTACGTCCAGACAAAGCAATCTGTGACCTAGGTTGCCGTAGTTTTCCATCAGTTAAGAATAGGCTTGTCATCGCGAATTAGACTTTGAAGCAGCTCCCAATACAACTGAGTAGAATGTGTTGCTCATTTACATGAATTTAAAGCTATTTCTTCATGTTTGGATGGGTGCAGTTGTCCGAGTTATATCATAGGAATACTAGTTCTGATTTCATACACAGCAACACATTGCTGCATTCGAATAGCTTCTTTCAGGACTACTTTGACTCCCTCTCACCCACCAGAACAGCGCCACAAGTTGTTACTCAGAGTTTTATCTATGCGCAGGGAATACAAGCTATGGCAGTCAGTGAAACTGGTAAGAGCTTTGTGTACATGAATGAAGGACCTGTTGTTCTACAAATTCATTACAGAGAAGGGACTCACTACTCGTTCTTTACTGATGGCCCTTCCTATGGGGGGAATTCATGAAGTGACAAGAAAGTTGCTAGATGCTACACGTCCATTGGAGTTGACACAGGAGATGCGCGAGGAAATGATGATACCATATATACCGGAAATTCCTATTGCAACAGAGGATATGGTGAATTATAATCAAACTGTCCACAATGTTCGAGGAATCAAAACCGCGTAGGTTATCTTGTTTTTTTATTCTCATTTTTATTAGTTCAGTCATTTGCTCTCCTAAATGCCACTAGAGGATTTATGCTGCTTTTCTGCAAATAGAAATGGTTAAAGGCACAGTTCGCGATAATTTTGAGGTGCCCGTTTTTATTCGGAAAGCGGAAGTATAGACTGGGACTAATTTCATCGGTAGCGAAGGAAGCGAGAGAATTCGCCGATTTCGAGAGAAATATGGCTAATCGAAAGCAGAGAAAATAGAGGTTGAACGAGACTACCATGACGGAAATATAATAAAATGGAAGGGGTATTCGGACGAGACGCAAAGAACCGACTACATCAAGCTATAACTATAAAGAACTGCCTTTCATTGTCGCTAACTCCCTGATTGGGCCGTTTTCCGACCTAAAAGCGCCAGATATGGTGTACGAAGGGATTTCGAATTCATTATATGTTGAAACCTCTGAAACCATTTCATCGTGAACTGTGCCTTTAAATCGCAGCTCGAATAATGAAGTGCGTGGTCTCTTCTTCCATCTATTCATTTTAGCTCATCTGGGTTGGAATCTACGAGTCTTATGATGGCCTATGGAATTGACGTCTTCTTCACTCGTCTTCATCCTTCGGGAACCTTCGACATTCTGAAAGATGATTTTGATCATGTACTAATCAGCGTAGTCCTTTTTGGACTCATTGCTGGAAGTATAATTAGCAAAAAGTTGGCTAGAAACAATGCCCTCTCTGCTGCGTGGGCTTAAAGTGGTCTATACAAATGTTACTCCAAAGTCGTTAATTATCCTTCTCACTACGGATTTGTAAGCCATTATTTTTGTTTATGCGTGTGTAAAAATGTCCATCCCATATATGCTAGTCTATGATGGAGAGGCGTAGCTAGGCGATGAAGTAAGTTTAATATAAGCCACAATGGGGGGTCGCTGTGACCCTTAATGGGGTTCGCTTCAATGAAGAGCTTCTCTTTCAACTCATTTCACTTTCCTCGTTTATTGTTGCTAAGCAAATGTCTGTGTTACTGCTTTATCCTGGCTCTTCTCAGGAATTCTGTTCTATGTATCATGAATGGCAAACATTACCTGCCTGGCTCATTAGCGATTTTCTTGATAATTATGATTTATTATTAATTCCGACTGAAATTTGGGCGTGGTGTCTTTGTCCGAGAATTCGTTTATGTGAATTTTGCTTCCGTTCCGATTTCAGTTAATTGCAGTCAATTCTGTTTTGCAATGGTCGCTGAATAGTGCTGAACTCTACTACACTCTGAATCGAATCTTTCAGCTCATGCAATTTAGCAAAAGGACCGAAACTAAGTTGATACTTGAGGTTGATCCGGCTTCACATTTATGGCGGATCATTAATTTTACGAGTAGATTCACTGAAAAGTATAACTACAGACCTTTGTTCTCCCAACAATTTTTTAAGCAGAATTTTGAGGTTATTATTTCTTCAAAAATAAAACCTACTTGTAAAGCGACAGTCTTTCTACCTCATGGTTTAAATTTAGTGGGTTGTGCATGTAGTGTAGAACTGTATTCCTTCAGTAAGGCAGTTCCGAATGGCTTGGTAAGGGTCGTTTCGAATTAGCCCCCCCCCCCCCCTGATGAATTGCCATTTGCTTAGTTCAGTGTTTGCTCCTGTTTTGTTGTTGTGATGATTGTAGTGTTTTCTTCTGATAAAGCATCTGGAACAAAGTCCCTAAAAATTTGAAATAATTGATTACTATCAGTCGTGTGAGAGTTTCAATTAGAAATAATTCGGTATCAGAATGTAGTTAATTTTTTCGCGTCTTCAATAATGTGCGCTGCATATTCTTTGTAGTTTGTTTATTGAGTTTTCAGTTTCCTTTTTCCCGTTAATTGTTTCTGACAAGAGTTGTATGCTGGCTACGGCCGCATCTTCCCCATCATCCAGTGGCCTCCATATCCCGTTTGTCATCTTTCGCTTTTTTTGAGACAGAAGATTTCTACGAATCATAGAAGATTGGAAGGAAACCCTCATTTTTTCATTTTTAGGAACATTCGGATGATGAGAAGGTTTCTGCGAAATGTGTGTGAGTGGTTTAGGCTAGTGGTCATCAGTTGGGTTACAGTTAGTGGTGCTTTCATTCGAGTTTATTCCAAATCAGAAAGAATCTGTTGTTTTTCATAACAGGCTTAAGTTTTTCGTTGTTTTCTCTGTATAGCCTTTGATTGGCTCAGCTTATTCGAATAACCGCTTCTGAACCCACTTGCTACTGCTGTACTACCTTAACCCTGTTGCTTGGTGATCCTATAATAAAGTAGATCTTAAAAATTTCAGGGAAAATTTCAGAGTGGAAGCGAGCGGCCATGGGGCGATAAGCCCCAGGTGACGACGTTACTGTAGAGGCGGCCGTTGTGGTGTATTGAATTATTNGCCTATACAAAGGCTTGCGGTGGCCAGTCGATGTAAAGTCAATGTTTTTGCTCTCCCAGACTAGCCTGGTTTTAACTAACCGATCCAGAAATGCTTCGCTGATCTAGGCGAATATCGATGCGGGATTCGAACCCGGAACCATGTGTGTGTGCGCGCCACTTACTACTAAAGTACCATCGCCCGAAAATAGCAAAACATATGCACAATAAAATCTGAGTTGCCAATAACGACATTGAAAACCTTGCAGAGAACACCATGCTCTAACGTTAGGGTCACCTTCAGTGATTTCAACGCCAAGATTAGCCAAGAAAAAAACTACCGAAGAGCTTACATCGAGACAGGCCAGATATGACGTTGTAAAAGGCTGTTCGAGTTATCATGTCGACTCATAGCAACTAGGGTAATTCGCATTTCAGAAGCTCTATCAGTCACGATGAACGTGGGAGTCACCTGGTCAACATTCCCACTATGAAATAGGTCATATCTTTTTTAGGCCATCGTTTCTTCTGCGGCAGATTTTTTCAATGCACGGAGAGAGCTGCGGAATTCAGGAAACGATAAGGGAGTCCCACGCACGACAAGTCGTTCCTAGTGTTAGTGTGAGTGCAGCAACACATGGAAACGTATTTAGATATGTATAGGGACGGAAAAGCCTCACAGGCCCGTGTGGTAGAGGAAGTGAGAGCGGCAAAAGTCCCCGGCACGGTTCCGGATAGAGTTCAGTGCGATAAATCGTATCCACTTTATTACTGGGCTCATTCAAGTGTCATGTAAATACGAGATGCTGTGCCGTTGTGGCTTACGTGAGTCAAATATGGGAAGGTCTCTGATACCGTTTAGACATAGGTGGTAGTTGGTGCCGTGGGCAACCGAGATGGTTTTACTTCAAATATGGAGATACTCATGAGCTCTACAACAGCTTCACGACCACGACGATAGGGAAATCACTGTCAACATGGAAAGAAGATCGCCATGCGCCGGTAATGTTTCTCCCAAATTTTCAGTATCACCCTCGAGATAATAAAGTGTCAGTAAAATGGGAAGACATTGATGTGAAGCTCGATGAGCGCTACATACAAAGTTTTTTAGATGATAACATGGTTATAACACCGAAAGGCGAGCAGGCGGAGCGAAGGAGGAANTGCGGGATTCGAACCCGGAACCATGTGTGTGTGCGCGCGCCACTTACTACTAAACTACTATCGCCCGAAAATAGCAAAACATATGCACAATAACATCTGAGTTGCCAATAACGACGTTGAAAACCTTGCAGAGAACACCATGCTCTAACGTTAG